CAGCAGGAAATATATCGTCCCTCTCGGGTTGTAGGGTGGGTTTGTTGCCCAAGCTTTGCGAAGAGGGAGCTGAGGATGAATGTGTTTGTCCCCCCGCACGTGCCTGTTCTCAGAGGGTGTGATGGTGTCTTGCAGATCGAAGCAAAGCCGAGATGGATTTGAAGGAGCTGAGTGAGTCTGTCCAGCAGCAGGCTGCCCCGGTCCCTCTCATCTCTCCCAAGCGGCAGATTCGCAGCAGGTTCCAGCTCAACCTTGACAAGACCATAGAGAGTTGCAAGGCACAATTAGGTATGTCTTCCGGTTTCATCGTTACTGTGTGTAGGGTTGAAATAAAGTCGGAATCCCGATTGCTTTTAGCAGTTGGCTTAACCTTGATTGTTCAACTAAAAATGTTTCCTCTTGTGCCGACATAGTTCAAATTTTGTCTTAATAATTCATAAGGGCTCCCTGGGGTCATCAGAGTTCCTTCTTAAGTGATGGGAGCCTGAAAACTCAGAAGCAGGTTTGAAGCATAAGGACCATCTGAGTCTGCCTCAGGCCTCCCTCTCGTTACCGAGTGCCTGAGCACTAGTCCTGAGCAGATCACACACTGAGAGCACACCATGAGCACCCAGCAGAGCCCTGCCCTGCAGACTCGGCCACTTCCCTCCTTGCAGACCCTTCTTGCTCCTCCCAGTTGCGTCCCATCTCTTCCCTGTGCTGCCTGCTTGCATGCTGACCTGGATCCTGCCCTTCCCCAAGACTGAGCTCAGGTCTCACCCCCTCCAAGAAGTCTCCTGTGACTGCCCTTTTCCTTTGCCCACCTCAGTTACTATTTGAGTGCTGAGAAGTATCAGTGTTTCCCTTGAGTTGGGGTTATTCTTCTCATCTAAACTGCCAGCTCTTTGAGCGCAGGGAGGTTGCTTTATATTGGTTTGTCTTCTCTGTGGTTCTTGGTCTTATGACTTACTCTCAGCCATGGAATATCTGCTGAATAAGTGAATAAAGCCGAGGCCATTTATAATGGAACCAACCTTGCCTGGGCCTCAGGTCAGAGTGCGCTACTCCGAGGTGAGGGTTACGGTATCAGTGGGAACACTGGATCTCCAGGTGAGAAAGGAGCTTTCGGTTGGGGTCACCTGGGGCTGCCTAGAGGACATCTCTTGCCGTGTTGCCTGTTTAATCAGGACGTTGAGTGATGTGGATAAATTTGGAAGACCATTCAAATATCTCTCCTGGCTTCTTCCCATGTACCTCATTTAATTCTTTGATTTTTTTGTTTATGCTAATAAGAATTTTAATATTTCCCTTTACTTCCTGCACACCCCGCAGTATGCTAAGCTTCGTGCATAGATTGTCCTGGGATGTAGATAAGTATTATCAATCCCATTTTGCAGATGAAGAAACCGTGGCTCAGAGAGAGGCACATCACTTTTTCAGGGTCACACAGCTTTTTAAAAATGGAGAAGCAAGGTTCACATTCATGTCCTTTCGGCTCTAGTACCCGAGCTTTCCTGTCACACGTGTGGTTATTCTCGTTTGTCTTCTGTCCAGCCATTAGCTAGCCATAACATAAACCGAGGACCCCCAGTTATACCAGATCTGGGCTTTCATATTTCGACCTGAGGGCTGGCGGTGAATTTATGTAATTCAGTAACTCCACTGACCTCCTGTGCCCTGTGGTACTCATGGCTCTTGACACGTGCAAGTTTCTCTTTGGAGTGTCCCAGCCCAGGGCTATTATGCATTTCATGGTGGTCATTGTTCTAGAATGAAGACAGCCCAGGAAATTGATTGGGTTTTCTTCCTTTTCAAAATTTTAGGAAATAGTATTATTTCCTTATGGTTTGCTTCTCTTTGATGTGTTCTTGGGAGCAGGAAGTACAGGTAGGTGAAATTGGACCAGTATTATAAGAAATAGTTTATTTATTATTATTTATGTGTACGTAAGATGCCCGCTTTTTATATTTTCCTCTAAAAACTTTTTTAAAGAATAACTTTTAATTTTAATGTTATTTACTTATTCATTTATTTTTAATTTGACCAGAGAGAGAGAGAAAGGGAAAAGGAGAAAGCAAGCCACCAAGTCTGGTACTCGAACTGTGGTCAGCTATGTAGAAGTGTCTAGTGCCTTAACCACCATACCACCTGCTGGTCCGCTTAAATACTTTTTTTTATTTATCATTAGTATTACTTTTTTAAAAAATTGGTACCAAACACATGCTCACCAGAAAGAGACAGATAGAGAGTAACGGAAAATGAGAAAGAAAGCCACCAAATCCGGGACTCGAACTGAGGTCCGCAGGATGGGAGTCCAGTGCCTTAATGAGCACACCACCTGCTGGCCCCTGTATTGTTGTCTTTTTTTTCTTTTTTTTTCAAGAGACATTCTTGCTATAGGGTGTGTGTGCTAGCCGGAGAGAAACAGAAAGACAGAAAACGAGAAATCACTCCCAGGGGGAATGGCCTTACCACAATCCCTTGTCCTCCAGTTTCCTCTTGGGATCTTGGACACGGACGCACATGTGCTTAGTGTGAGTTTTAAGCCACTGGGTCCAGGACTCAAACTGTGGCTGACTACTTGGGAGCCCAGCAATGCAACCATTATGCCAACTGCTGGTTCCTGTATTGCTGTCTTTTAATAGAGAAATGGGACCTTCCTCTCCAGTGTTTTATGCCTGGAAGAACAGGCAAAAATCCCAGTTGACTGCATCAGTGCAGGGAGCACAGAGGAGGACCCAGCACTTGGGCTGCCAGGAGACATAGCTTTTGCCTTGAAAAGACCAGTGCTTTCTTGCCAGTTGTTGGTTTGCAGACTGGTGACTCTGCTCGGCCAGGCCTTCTAGCACAAGCCTACCAACTTGGTTTCCATGTAAAATTTCCCGATTTGTGAGCTGGGCCTCTGATTCCTAATTACAAACAAAAAACAAGCAAACAAATACCCTATGGGCCAGACCATTGCTTCCCAAATAAAAACGTGTCTGCCGTCCAGATGTGGTGGTGGAATGCAGGTTGGCTACCTGTGTTTTACGGCTTTCACGTGATTCTTGGAGCCGTCGACACAAAAGGCCAACTATTTCTATGCTTTGGGGCTGCGAGGGAACCTGCCGCTGGTGAGTCAGGGACCTGGGGGCTAGTCTTGTTTTCTTTGTGCCTCTATTTTCTGTTCCATAAATTGGATTGATTTAGACCGCTCCTCTCTGGTGTTCGCTGCCTGCCCTCCTGTTCTCTCGATCCCAATGAGCTACCCGTATTGCAGACTTGGCGCCACAGCAAAGTGAAATGTCTGGTGTAGGCCCGTGTCTCCTTGAGCGTTGCTAACTGAAACCCTCTCCAACAGGTTGCACTTGTCAGTCCTAGGCTGGGGCGCGTTCATTCATTCTGACCCCACCAGGCCCACGTGGTGTGGTTTGAAATGTGATTTTTTTTTGTCCCAGCATCAGGTGTGGGAAATGTTTGCATTTTCGGTCCTCCTCTTTCTCTGGTGGCTGTGCCACATGCTGGGTTTTCTTTTTGAATTTAGGCATAAATGAAATTTCAGAAGATGTGTATACGGCTGTGGAGCACAGCGATTCTGAGGATTCTGAGAAGTCGGACAGCAGCGATAGCGAGTATATCAGTGACGAGGAGCAGAAGTCCAAGAACGAGCCAGAGGACACGGAAGACAGGGAGAGCAGTCGCATGGACAAAGAACCGTCTGCAATGAAAAAAAAGCCCAAACCGACAAACCCAGCGGAGGTTAAAGAAGAGCTGAAAAGCACATCCCCAGCCAGTGAAAAAGCAGACCCGGGGGCCGTCAAGGACAAGGCCAGCCCAGAGCCCGAGAAGGACTTTTCCGAAAAAGCAAAACCTTCGCCTCACCCTCCAAAGGATAAACTGAAGGGAAAAGATGAGACGGATTCCCCCACTGTGCATTTGGGCCTGGACTCCGATTCAGAGAGCGAACTGGTCATAGATTTAGGAGAAGACCATTCTGGGCGGGAGAGTCGAAAAAATAAGAAGGAACCCAAAGAAGCGTCTCCCAAGCAGGATGGTAAGTGATCGTGTCAGTTCCCAGTTTCTCACCTTGGGTTAGCCGTCCCCTCGCACGCGTGTACGCTCAGAAGTTCAGGGCCCTTCGGTGGCATGGAGAGAGGCATAGCGTGGCTGAGCTTTGTTGCCCAGGTCTTCTCTGAGTAGAACTGAGGCCTAAACACAGGCCTACCTGTCTCACCTGTTCATACCCACCAAAGTTGACTTCTAGATTTTTTTGGTCATAGGACATGTGTATCTGCCAGAGAGAGAGAGAGAGCTAGAGAAGGACCGTGAGAAATCATCCCCGCCCCTCCCGGGGGATGGCCATGCCACAGTCACTTCTCTTGAGATTTTGGGCATGTACACACACAGCTATTGGGCGTTTCTCAGGCCTCTGGGTCTGGGTATCAAACCCTGGGAGTTGGCTATGTGAGATCCAGCTTCTTAACCACTCTGCCAATTGCTAGCCCTACAGCTGATGTCGAGTACAGAAAAATGAGACTCTTCTCCAGTAAAAGCAACTACCATTTTCTCAGTCCTGTTTAGCCTAACGATCATCTTTTCCAGTACACTCGCTCATTTTCTTCAAGTGCTTGTTAGCAGTTAGATATTTGACAAGTCTCAGATGGTGAGAAGCGTTCAGTTCAAAGATCGGGATGAGTTTAGCATCCCTTTTCTCCCCGTCTTGCTGCCCAGGCATCTCTGAGCGCGTCCTCTAACCACGTAGAACATGACACCATTAGAGTCGGTGGTGCCAGAATGCGGAGTGCTACAGTCGGAAGGGACCTTCTTCAGAGGGTACTTGAATGGCTGTTCCATCCTATTTGCATTTTGGCTAATCTGATCCCAGGATCCCTCAGTCTTGCACTGTTGGCAGTTCGCCCTGGGTACTCCTGTCTTGGGCATTGTAGGATGGTATGCCGCGTCCCTGGCCTCCAGCCCACTAGCTGGCAGTAGGATCTGCCCAGTTGTGGCAATTAAAAATGCCTTGACCTTACTCCATGTCCCATGAGTGGCCAAATCTCCCCATAGCCCGAGCCTGAACAGGCCCCCCCTTGTTACAGTCACATTCTGATTGAGCAGGGACCGTGCCGAAGCCTGTACAGTTGGGATCTGTAGACAAACTCTCTGGAGGGGTACCGAAATGATGTGGAGGGTGTCCTTCCCACAGAGAAACAGCACATTTTCCAGTTGGCTTGGCAAGTGGGTGGTGAGGGCATTCAATTAGGGCCCAAGGAGGGACATCATCTAACGGTCACTCAGAGGTTGTAGCCATAAAACTTCTGTACTTTGTGAGGAACCTCATGATAGGCTTCTTTTTTGACTGTGCCTAACTTTTTATTTTTTGGAGAGGTTTTTGCTATAGGGCGTGTGCACTCTCCAGAAAGTGAGAAATCACTCTCAGGGCAGATGGCCACACTGCAAACCCTTCCCTCCATTCTCCTCTCGAGATCTTGGGCATGCATGCTCAGGTGCCCAGAGTGAGTTTAAGCCACCAGGTCCAAGACTCAAACCGCAGTTGACCACTTGGAGTCCAGCGACATAGCCATTACTCCAACAGCTGGTCCCAGACTGTGCCTAACTTCTATCAGGAGTGGCTGTCTGAGCTAAACCCTTGAGTAAGGCATGAGTCTGTGTTATTTCCCATTTTCATATCCAGGCAGCTTGAAGCATGTCACGACGGGGTGGGAAGAATGCCTCTTTGTATTGGACTGAACTGTTCCGATACCCCAGTTGTTAGGGAGAAAGGATTTCTGCAGTTCAACAAGAGAGAGTGAGATTCTCTGAATCATGCCCTTGAGGGAGAGAGAGGCTACAAGTTGGTGTGGGGAGGCCGTGAGGTGCCTCTCGGAGCCACCTAAGTGGATGGGCGCTGAGCACCTGAGTACGTCGTGCATTGGCTGATCACGCCACGGATTGCGGTTTGCAGTGACCTTTGTGGCTCCGTCTTGATAGGCACAGCAGTTCCGTGAGGATTGTGGGCTGACTATTTGGGTGCAGGTGTCAATGTTCCTGTGAGTGACATATTTATACTGTTTGATTGATTGGTTTTATGTTCCTTTCCCCTTCCAGAGAGGATTTGTGACAGGTCGACAACAATATGGTAACCACGAAACAAGATAAATCTGTGTAGAAGGAAAATGAAGGTAGAGTAGAGAGGGGACTAGCGAAAGATGTTCCACAGAAATAAGGCCTATTCCAGCCTTCGGAGTTAGCAATCGCTCAGTTTCTATTTGGGCTCTGAACTTCTTGGCAGTGAAAGTAAAAAGGGAAATAGAGTTTTTGAAAGATCTTACACTTTCCCAAAAAAATAAAAGGCATTTAAGTTGATTTAAAGAAATAAGGTCTTGGGACCAGCAGATGGTGTAATGGTTGTGTCTCTGGACTCCCACATAGTCCACCATGGTTCGAGTCCCATGGGCATGTTATGTCCAAGATCCCAAGAGAATAGAGGAGAAGGGTTTGTGGCGTGGCCACCCCCCCACCCCCAAAGTGCTTTCTTGCTTTCTTTCTCTCTGGTGAGCACATGTGGCCTACAGTAAAAATCTCAAAAAAAGAAACAAAGAGCCTCTTTGCACTGATGTCTGAGGAAATTTCTCCTGGAGCCCCCGAGTTAGATGGAGGAAGATTAAGCGGAAGATGATTTTTAATTCTGTTAGAGCAGCTTCGAAGGCTTGAGGTCAAATGAACTGATCTTAAATCTAGAGCCCCCTGATGGTGGTTTGGGTCTTCAAGAATCGGCTTTGTATCAGAATCTGCCGGAGAGCATCTTTTCAACGAAGAGCTTTCACTTAGGAGTTTATTAAGTGAAGGTCATTTCAGAGTGTGCTGGGGTGCCCTAACCTACCTTCAACCGGAATGCAGCTCATGAGTAGAATATAAATCCTCAGATAGTATAGCAGCTTTTATGGGAAGTAATCTCAGAATAGAAGCACAGGGAGAGCTCACTTAGAAATGGTTCTTACCCTGTCACCTCTGTCATTTCCATCTTTCTCCAAAAGGGATGTTAATTCATTTATTAGGAAGGCCTCTTTTTATGTACAAAATGGTGACCAGTGACAGCTTCTAGAGTAGCGAGTTAATTTTCAGGGTCCCAGCCTTTTAAGAAACTTAACCCCCCCCTTGCCTATAGGTGATTATTATATGTTCTGAATATAAATATATTTCTAGAACAAATGGAATTTCCTGTTGCTTCTTTTTTGCTGAGTTTCATAACCAGAATTCCATAGAATTGAAAGTATTTTAGCCTCTGCACTATAACCCCAGATAATATTCTGGGCCCAGAGTCCCTTCAGAGGGTACGTGCCTTTTACTCGAGGAAGGGAGCCAAGCAGCTCTCTGCAGAGCAGCAGCCCCTCTGCTAAGCTGACTGCTTGTCCAATCAGGAGAGAGAAAATGACCTTTCTGTGCTTGCCCTTTGTGGGGCTGGGCTTGGCTTGTGTCAACTATAACAATGTATTTTTTTGCCATTGTACTGAAAAGGGAGGCCTTGAGGCAATTCTGCAGGCTGAAAACCTGCTGGGGCCCTGCCTCTGTGCCCCGCTCTTAGAAGGGCCGAGTGCAACACCTCCAGTGCACCCCGAGGCAGCGAGGATGGTGGCCCGTCCGGTGGCCTGTCCGGTATCCGGTAGGTCACCTGGATGGAGCAGGGCTCCTCCTTCAGGACCAGCTCCTTCTCCCTCGTCATCCTTGGCTCTTGTCTGCCTGTCTGGCTGGACCAACTTTCCTCTCCAGGAAGACATGCTACCCACCGAGAAAGCCCCTCCCTGGGTCAGAATAGTGTGCTGGCCTTTGCCTCTTTCTTGGTTTGGTAAAATGCATAGATTACTGAACCTCAGCCCCCAGAATATTACTGAGTGCTATATTATAAATGTAAAACGACAGGTATAATCTTTATAAAGGAGTTGGATGTCAGAGGGCATCATCGAAGATTGGGGTTACTGGCTTACACCCGTGTTTGCTGTGCGTTCTCAGTATCCTCTCCGTGGGGGCTGAGAGGAAGAGGCTGAGACCTCCGTAGCAATAACTGAGCCCCTTTACCGAGGAGCACCTCTGTGGTCACCCCTTCTCCGGTCCAGTGCTTCTGGCTCTCATGCCCTGCAGCTGTTCCTCCCCACCACCCGCCTTCACTTACCAACATGCTCCCTGCGCCTGGTTGTGTTTCGGCTAGTGCTGTTCCCCCCAGATTCTAGCTTCTGCCTGCTGAAATGCTACCCCCATCTCCCATAACCCAGCTTCCCCAAGAAGACACGCTCCAAAAGGCAGCCTTTCTCAAACTGGAGTCATGCACTTTCACTGTTTTTGCCGTGCCCAAGTCCTGCCTGGATAATTGACTTAATATTTTGATTAGGTCAGAAAAGTTGTGATATATTTGGGTTTTTCTATCCAAAAGTGCATCATGACTTTCCCAATCTAATATTTAAAGTGACTCTTTAAAGAAAAAGGAGACTCCTTAAAATAACTGGAACAAGACCACCGCACTGTAGGAAAAGTGGTCTGTCTGCCCTGTGCGTAACGGATGGTGTGAGAATGGATGCAAAGCCAAGGCGCTGCTTCTAAGTTCTAGACAAATACCATTGTGTTGGGCAAAGTCCTGGCCTTGGGGTGGCATTCCTTTAAAGGTTATCTGTCAGAACCACCCTGAGACTCTGTCTTGGAGGGGACTCAGAGAGATAAGAAGGATACTTTTAATTCTGGGTGATTTAGTGTTCAGTGTTGGGCCATTAGGAAGCCACCTAGTTCCTCTGGGTACAGGCTGTATACAGGCTCCTTAGCTGAAGAGTTTGCCCTCTTCTACCGGATTCTGACTTCCTAAGACAGGCGCTTGTAGTGCTTCGCTCCCTGGCTGGTGGGTACATTTCCCCTAGAGGGCTGGACGGTGTCTCAGATGTGAGCGGGGGATTCAGTAAGAGGGCCAGCCCTCGGCACAGAAGGTGCTGCAGGGGCCGCCTGAGTGTGCAGGTGAGGGCGTGCCCCCCAGTGGGGCGCACTTGGCAGGTACAATTTCTTTGCCCTTCCCACCTCTGTTTGGTTTACCCCAACGTTACTGGTGGCCCCGGGTGAAATCAGCTGTCGTCTGTTTTTGTTTTTCACGCATGGGCTTCAGTTGTGGGTAAAGCCCCACCGCCCACGACGGCGGGCAGCCAGTCTCCCCCCCAACACACGGTGCCCCTCCCAAACTCCCGCGGCCGGCGTCACCGCCGCCACCAGCACGACGTCCACGGTCACCGTCACAGCCCCGGCCACCGCCGCCACAGGAAGCCCAGTGAAAAAGCAGAGGCCGCTTTTACCGAAGGAGACTGCCCCAGCCGTGCAGCGGGTCGTGTGGAACTCATCAAGTAAGTTTCAAACGTCCTCCCAAAAGTGGCACATGCAGAAGATGCAGCGCCAGCAGCAGCAGCAGCAGCAGAGCCAGCAGCAGCAGCCTCAGTCTTCCCAGGGGACGAGATATCAGACCAGACAGGCTGTGAAAGGTACCGAGCCCCCCTTCTGCTCTCCGTGGCGCCGCTCCCTTTTCGCCACACGGACAGGAGAAAAACCATTGCGCTCTTATTTTTTATTTTTATTTTTATTGTTTAGTTCCCATTTGTGCCCTGGCTCTTAGATCCCCGAGGCCTTACAGACTCCATCTGGCGTGATTTTTAAAAAAAATTATTTTGCAGTTTGTTTTCTTATGTAAACATTTTTGGGGGATCATTTTATAAACGACACATGCATATATTCTCCTTAGAAAGGGGCCGACTATTGCCATGAAAGTCTCTTATTCTGTTCATCTTCCGTTTCACTCTCCACCCTTCCACAGTGGCTATGGTCAGTGTTAGAAAACACTTTTCCATGCATGCATGTATGTATATGTATATATGTGTGTGTGTGTTGTGTGTGTATTATATATAGAGACACCATAAAGATATTCTTTTTTCTCCCCTTTTTTCTTTTTTAAAACATATAAATGGTACCATACTCACTTTTTTTTAAAATGCATCAGCATGTTTTGGTGGCCTGTCCATGTCAGTACATGCAACTCTGTCCTTTTCTTTTGAACTGCTGCGTAGTAGTCCATCGTTTGTCGGGAGCCTCCCCCTGCTGGTGGGCATGTAGCATGCTTCCAGTTTTTTCCTTCTGTACCCAGTGCTGCAATGAATCCCTTTATTTATACAAGTTTCTAGCTGCACAGGAGTGAACTTACTAGCGTTACTTTGGAAAGAGGACAGTAGGCAAAGTGAATAGCAAAGCTTACCTTCAAAATTTGCAAAAGGACACAAAAGAAGGGCTGGTATCAGGAACCACTGACTGAGGTTACAGAATTGCAGTTCCCCCCAGCCACACAGGAAGCTGTCTGGAGCTGGTGGGAACCCAGGGTCCTGGTCAGGTCAGGGCTTGTTTGCCCAGCTCGGAGCAGTGATGTAGATATCATTCCGTGGGGAATCCTGCATCGACATCCAGAAGGTGGGATTCCGTGACTGACACTTGGAGGAAGTGGACCCTAGTGAGTACTGCTCTTGAGTAGCAGCAGGATGTGAGGTTGAGCATAGCCAGGTCTTAAGCTGGCTCCTGGTGAACTCCTTCAAAGACTAGGGGACCAGGGAGGCTGGAAATTGGATGGGCACGGTTGGAGTACAGTTGGGCTGATCCTGCTGTTTAGAAAGTTGACGGGGCAGAGCTGAATCCAGGGTGTACACCTAACGATTTCCATTTCCAGTCTTGGTTGTCATGAGTACATGAACATTCCTTGGTGGCATTCAGGTACTTCCAGGAACAGGCTCATTAATGGTCTCCATTGTTTAATAGTTTTGTGTCACTGTAAAGCCTAGCTAAAGCAGTAAGGACAGGTTTTAATCAATAATGATATTTTAATAGGGAGAAGAGTACAACTGTGACTGATCATTTTGAAGGGGGGAGGAGGAAACAGAATGGAGGGCAAGAGGGGTGGCTTGGAAATTTAACCTTATGAAAAGCAGGAAATGGGGTTGGTCCAAGTGAAACCCATCTGGGTTTGCCACTTGGCTCTGAATTCACCCGAGTTAGGCTCCTGTCCTCCCAGGAGAGACTGGGTGTTGGGGCCCTGTCTTCAGGTGTTGGCTGGGTCAAATGGACCCTCTTTCCCACCTTTGAACTTCCCAGGCGGTCACTGGCAGGAGGGCTCAGTACCTTCTAGCATGTGGTCAGAGCTCTTAGGAGCTGTGGATTTTAGTGTCTGTTCATGTTACTAATGTTGGGAATTAGTCAAGAAGGGGTCCCGCAGGAGCCTGGCTAGAGTTTGGTCAACAAGAGACTCTTTGTCCCTTGAAAGTAAAAAAACGTGCAGGGTATCTGACGCATCACTTCTTGCCCACAGCCTTGTGCTGAGAGAGGCCCCTTCTTGCAACCATGGTAACCAGGAGCCTTTACTTTCACAGCTGTCCAGCAGAAGGAGATCACGCAGAGCCCGTCCACGTCCACCATCACCCTGGTGACCAGCACACAGTCGTCACCACTGGTCACCAGCTCGGGGTCCACAAGCACCCTGGCGTCCTCGGTCAATGCAGACCTGCCCATCGCCACCGCCTCAGCCGATGTCGCCGCAGACATCGCCAAGTACACTAGCAAAGTGAGTGGCCGGGATGCCCGGCTTCCTGGTGGGAGCCATCAGCCGCCAAACTTTACATGGTTTTAAGGGGTTTTCTGGAGGGGAGACCCTAGCTTTCAAAGGATTTTGAAGACCAGATTCATTTTTTTGGAGAGATTTTTTCATTATAGGGCGCTTGCACTGGTCAGACAGAGAGAGACAGAGAGACAGAAAGAGAGAAATCACCCCTCTGGGGGGATGGCCATGCCACAATCCCTTCTCCTCCATTCTCCTCTTGGGATCTTGGGCACGCACGCACACACGCCCGGCGTGAGTTTTAAGCCACTGGGTCCGGGACGCGAACCGCGGTAGACTACATGGGAGTCCAGCGACATAGCCATTATGCTAACTGCTGTTCCTGAAGACCAGATTCTTAACACTTCAAGTTAGCTCTTTAAAGAGAAACGTAGAATGGACTGATAATCCGAGAGTGCTCAGAATGAAGGTCACGCAGACTGACCTTTACCCTTCCGAGTTCACGTCACTCACAAAAGACAGATTTTCTTCATGTGCTGGAACATGTGACCATTCCTTCGGCGAATAGCTGACCGAGGACTAGGTTTGCTCATGGAAACCACGTGGAACAAAAATGACTGAGACTCAAACAAGGGACGGTAAGGGGAGATGCCCACTTCTGGATGTTCCCAGGAACCCCATGGACTAGGGGATTAGCGTGTCCCTCCTGCCAACTTGGCCACCCTCTGGGGCTCACTCCTTGCTGAGTGGCATGGTGGACAAGGTTGTTTTCTGTTACTAACTCATAGGCAAGTTCTCAGTCAGGCTCTTTCCTTTTCTCAAAGAACATTTTCTAATTTAAAAAAAAAAATTGGGAATTTATTTATTTTGAGAGAGAGAGAGAAAGAGACTCAGAGAACCTGAGACAGAGAGAGTCCTCCCAACATGTCTCCTTGTCATGATCCAGCCCCCGTCTCAGTCAGCCTGAGTCCCAGGCTTGCCAGTGTAAACCCGGCCTGCTCTGGGAGGTCCCAGGACCTTTACCATGAGTCCTCTTGTCACCAGCTGTTCCCTTTTTTCTCTGTAGTTTGCCAGGTGCTTTTATGCTTCGCTGAATTCAGGTAAATCTGTATGTGCAGATATGTTTATTTTATTATTAACTATTACTTAATTTTATTGACTATCATCATTCTTCAATTGACTAGACACACACACACACACACACACACACACACACACACACACACAGAGCGTGCCACCAGGTCTGGAACTGGAACCATGGTCGGCCATGTGGTAGTCCAGAGCCTTAGTGACTACGCCACCTGCTGGCCCCATGCAGATATATTTCAATGGATTGCTAAGTAATAACAACTACCAGAATGTCAGATCACAAAGGCAAGAGTTTTTTCTACTTCATTCACTGCCAAGACCTGGCACACAGCAGGAACTTGTTGAATGAATACCTGATGTTGCCCAGGTTTTTCTTCTGTGTACTTATTGCCATCAGTAATGATTATAATTATAGCTAATGAATAATGATCTAATAAGAGCACTTAATAATCACTGGTAGGTTATAGTAACTTACGCTTTACTAACGAGTGAATTACCACTTAGCTTCTTATGAGTGATCTATTCACGTTTATAGAGAGAATGGGTGAGAAAAGAATATTTACTTATAGAAGTCTTAGTCTCATGATAAAAAGTTGCTTTATTGTTTTGAGCTAAGAATAGAATCTTAGTTCCGGAAAGCAAAATAAATGTCTATGACTTTTCACAGCACGTTTTCATTAGTCATTTTTCTTTTTATTCTTTCTATTCTGAGTGTAATTGTAATTTATTATTACATAGCAAATTGCCATAAACTTAGCATTTAAACCAAATGCATGTTTATGATCTTGTGGGTTCGTGAGTTTGGGGTCTAGCCACAGTTGGAGGGGTTCTTTGTTTTAGAATCTTGTAGGCTGTAGTCACTCAGGGTATATAAAAATGGGGTCTGTTTTTTTTTTTTTTTTCTAGAATTTTTTAATTTAACTTTATTTATTTTAATTTGACCAGAGGGGGACACACACACACACACACACACACACACACACACAGAGGAGAGAGAGAGAGAGAGAGTGAGATTGAAAAAGCAAGCCACAAGGTCTGGGACTTGAACCACAGTCAGCCATGTAGGAGTCCAGTGCCCTTAACCACCATGCCACCTGCCGACCCCAGGGTATCTGTGGTTGGGTTCTGTTAAGAAGGTTTGCTTGGGGGAGAATCCTCTCCCAAGCACACTCAGTTGGTCATGGGCAGGATTGGCTTACTCAAGGGCTTTATTCCAGGTCCTCCCTCGGTTCCTTGCCGTGTGGTTCCCCCATGACCACGGCTGCTGGCGTCATCAGAGCCAGGGATTACTTAGGTAGTCTAACCAGAGAAGTGACAGCCCGTCACTTACAGAGAGAATGGGTGAGAAAAGAATATTTACTTATACAAGTCTTAGTCTCATGATAAAAAGTTGCTTTATTATTTTGAGCTAAGAATAGAAGCTTAGTTCTGTGTATTTTGTTGGTGAGAAGCGGGTCAGTGGACCAGCCCACACTTTGAGGTGTGGGGGCCACACCTGGTTGGGAATGTCCGCAGGTTGGGTCACGGGAAGCTGGTAGAGTACTGCACTGGGTGACATACAGTAGCTTCACTTGTTTATTGGGTGTAGTTCGGCCTAGATGCTGTTTTTGTGCCTTTTTTTGTATGTTACACACCACATCTTCATGACAGGTCAGTGAAGTAGGCACTATCTTATAATCCCCCTTTTCTGTTTTTCTTTTTTTCTTTTCTTTCTTTTTTTGGACAGGTTTTTGCTATAGGGTGCGTGCGCTTGCAAGACAGATGGAGAGAGACAGAGAGACAGAAAGCGAGAAATCACCCCCCAGGGAGGATGGCCATGCCACAATCCCTTCCTCTCCATTCTCCTCTCGGGATCTTGGGCACACATGCACATGCGCCCAGCGTGAGTTTTAAGCCACCAGGTCCGGGACTCGAACCACAGTCGACTACGTGGGAGTCCAATGACATAGCCATTATGCTAACTGCTGGTCCCATCATCCCCCTTTTCTTTTCCCTTTCTTTTTAAAGTTTTTGCCAAAGGGTGCATGTGCTCATTGGAGAGAGACAGAGAGAGGGAAAAGTGAGAAATCATCCCCTGGGGAGGATGGCCATGGTAGTCTCTTCTCCATTTTCCTCTTGGGATTTTTGGATTGTACACGAGCGTTCCTGGAGTGATTTTTTTTTTTTTATGCTGCCGGGTCTGGGACTTGAACTGGGGTCAGCAGTGTGGGAGCCCAGCACCTTAACCACTATGCCACCTGCTGCTTCCTATCATCTGATTTTTAAAAGTTTATTTTTTCTGTGTGTGTGTGAGAGAGAGAGAGAGAAAAAAAAAGAGAGAGTGCGAGAGTAGCCACACACAAGCACCCCGTCTCAGTGCTGTCACCTAGTCCCAGATTAAACCAAGCCCTGGATAAGGGCATGTTTGTGCCTGGTGCATTTGGGGAAGTCTGTGGGCATGGACCAGAACTTTCCTTTACTCCTGTAGGAAGATTTTGAGGTGACATTTTGTTTCCTTCTTTTTTTTTTTTTTTGGAGAGATTTTCGCTATAGGATGCGGGGGCTCGCCACTCACCGCTATAGGATGCGTGCGCTCGCCAGTCAGACAGAGAGAGACATAGAGACAGAAAGCGAGAAATCATCCCCCACAGGGGGTGGTCACGCCACAATCCCTTCTTCTCATTCTCCTCTTGGGATCTTGGGCACGCACGCACACGCGCCCGGCGTGAGTTTTAAGCCACCGGGTCCGGGACACGAACCGCGGTTGACTACGTGGGAGTCCAGCGACATAGCCATTACGCTAACTGTTGGTTCCCACATTTTTTAATCTCCAGAGATCTCAAGTACCAACCAGAGAGAGAGAGAGCTCCCCATGGCTGTGGTTATGTGGCAACCGCTTCTCTATTTCTCCATTAATCAGGATTTGGGGCACACATACACATGCGCCGGATGTGTTTTTCTAGCCTCCGTGGATGGAATTTGAACTTCAATTGGCCATGTGGGATAGTCCCCCATAACCACTAGGTTATGGGGCCCACCCCTAACGATAGTTGTTTTCTTAAGCAGTTACGAAAACCGAACATGGTGACATTTTTGAGGAGCTGATGATCTTCCCTATCTCTGGACCCCAAGTTGGGGTCCCTGATGTGTACATTTTGGCAGAAGGGCCGGCTCTTTGAACATGTTGAGCGCTTTGCTTTATCTGGAAGTAAGAGTGAAAGTCATTCCACGAATTCATGGCATCTTTAAAATGGAATGTAACCATTGCGTTAGTAACGTATTGAATTCCATTTTCTTTCTGAAGTTTGCTTGTAAAGCGATTTAGTTTGAATTTTTCGAATTGTCCTGGTTGGTGCTGTAGGGTGAGGGGAGCCATGTGGAGTGAGGGGAGCCATGTGGAATGACGGGCTGGAGGCCACCAAGAGCAGAGTATTTCTACCACTTGGAATGGCCTCCAGGTGGCTGGGAGCAGAAACTGCAACGGATACCTTACTTCAAAAGTTTTAGAATGAATTCTTGATTCGTATTTGGGGGTGATAGAGTTACATATGCTTACCAATTAATTTTTCTGTAAAAACAAGATGGTCGGGAGACCACCTGTTGGTGTGGTGTGATAGTTAAGGTGCTGGATCCCACATGACCATCTGCATAGTTTGATTCTTGGACCTGGTGCCTTGAAATTCATGCTGGGCGTGTGTGCAAGCATGCCCAAAATTTTGAGAGGAGAATAAAGGAGAAGGATTTGGGGCATGTCCATTCCCACTGGGGGTAATTTCTCAACTTCCTTCTGTCTATGTCTCTGTCCAATGGGAGCACACACCTTATAGTAATACTTAAAGAAAAGTTGAGCAGATATTTCTGCATGAGCACTATTCTGTGATAGGTACGGAACCCTAGTCTTTGCGTGGTTTTCTCATTTAATCCTCTGCACACCCTGCAAAGGCTCACTGATAACTTTTTTCCCCACACCTTGTAACCCAGACTCAGGACAGATGGAAAATGGTGATGATGGGGAGAGATGTAGGCATTAGATGTGAGGGTTTTCTTTGTCCTGCTTTATCACTGACTTTGACCTTCTAGAAAACACAGAAGAGACTTAGCAGCTGTCAGAGCAGAGCCAAAACCCAAAACCTAGCAGGTCCTGTTCTTTGTCCTGTGATAGGGGAATGGCCAGCTGGCACATGGGAATTAGGGAAGAAGTTCATCCTATAATCACATTTAGTCTTCAGACACCTGGGTGCTTGTTACATGGACCTCAGCTAATTTCACAAGCTTACTGAAGACTTCAGGGGTCAGATGGTTAGAGCAAAATAAGGGAGTGAACTGTGAAGGTAACACCCTGACTAAAGGCATCAAAATTACGGGGCCAGCTTCCTGCTACAGTGGTACTGAATGTGCTGTTCAGGAGAAGCTGTGTGGGCTTCGTGCGACGATCACAGTTCGAGTCCCTGGCCTGCGCATTTTTACTTTTTTAATGTAATTGATTGATTGATTTTAAATTTACTATAGGGCGTGTTTGCTCATGAGAGTGTGAGAGAGAAACAGCAAGTGGAACGCAAGCCACCACGTCTGGTATTTGAATTGTGTTCGGCCATGTGGGAGTCCAACGCCTAAACCACTAAGCCACCTGCTGCCCCTGGCCTGGTATCTTGAAACACACCAAGCATGCATGCGAGTGCTAATGATCCAGTGGGTTGGAAAAGTTGGATCGTGGCAAAACAGACCCTGTGGAATTGCTCACCTCTGTCTCTCCATTTTTGTGTCTCACACTCACTCTCTTACGAACTTTCACCTGCAAAAGCTCTTACCATCAATAGAGAAATAAAGAAAGCAGCCATATTCACACAATGGATTATAAAAAGGACTGAAATATATTGGGCATGGTGGTGTGCATCTGTACTTCTAGCTACTCTGGAGACTGACGCTGGAGGATCATGAGTTCAAGTTCAGCCTGGGCAATGTAGTGAGACCCTGTGTTTAAAGTTTAAGAAAAGAAAAAGGAATAAAGTACTCATTCATGCAAGAAAGTAGCTAAACCTTCATGTGATCCCAGGACCCTATAGTCCATGTATATAAAATACCTAGTCTGAGCAATAAGACAGAGTGCAGATAACGGTTGTTTCTGGCTGAGGGGTGGATGATGATTTCGATGTTGGGGGATGAAGGCTATGAAGCAGGGTTTTTTCTTTTGGCGGTCATGAAAATATTCAGGAGTTGTTTCGGAGGTAGATACATAATGGAATATACTGGAGCCATTGGAGTGTGTTCTAAATGAGTAAATTGTATGGTATATCCAATATAGCTCAATAATGTGATAATGTTTTATTAAAGGGAAAGGATTTTAAAAGAGCTCTGACAAAACAAACCCCCATCAGACAAATTTGTGCTGTGCATTTTCAGATGATGGGTATAGACACTCGCTTTACGGTTGAGAACCTGTTCCACAGCAGGAGATAGGGAATGGAGGTGGTGAGATTCCTATGCTGGTTTATACCAGGGTGTTTTCACCTTGGCACCCATGCCGTTTGGGCTGGTGGATGAGTCTGTGCTGTGGGGACTGTCCTGTGCATTGTAGCCTGTTCACCTCTATATGCCGGAAGCTGCCTCTTCTCCCAACTCCCTGGCTGGTCAGGACCCCCAGAGTTGCCCAATGTCCCATGGAGGGCAAAATTGCAAGTCGAGAACTGCTGCTTTATACAGATGGGATCGGTTTTACATACAGCACCTAAAAAAGCCTCAGGAAGCAATTGAATTATTTCTGTTTTTATCTTTCAGATGATGGATGCAATAAAAGGCACGATGACCGAAATCTATAACGATCTTTCTAAAAACACTACCGGAAGCACCATCGCTGAGGTCAGAGATGACACGTGAATTCTTTATATGCTAAGAGTGTTTTATGGGCCGTCATAAAGGTGGCGCTGTGAAGAAGTGTGTCTGTAAATCCCTCCTGGGTTCTGGTCTGGTCACCGGGGTCGCTGAATGGATTGGTGTGGTTGGTGGGGTCATTTCTTCCTCTCGCCAGATGCCTAGGGCTGCAAAGACATGCCATGCTTCGTGTGATAAATTCACTTCTAATAAAATGGCTAGGACCAGAGCCTGAGTTAACCCCCAGGTATGGCTCGAAGCCAGTTAGTTTTCCTGCATATAAAATCGGCCCCTTTATCTTCATAGGTTTGGGCATTTTTATATGAATGGTTTTCTGTGTGTGTGTGTGGAATCAGTGTATAGGAGTCTCCACGATTATGTGACAGCCTAGAGGAGAAAGCGGTACATCATTACACTTTATACCTATGATCTGAGCACATAGGAACACACTTCCCTCAACTTCCCTTTGAGGCTGATTCATAGCCAGGGCTTGGAGAGTGGGCCTCTTCCTGATGTCTGTGTGGATACTGCAAGAAAGGCCAGAGGCAGTCGGAGCACCAGGTGACAGGCCGAGTGGCAACATGTCTCTGGTATTGGACAAGTGTGGGAGTCCTGTGCTAAGCTGTTGCTGACCTTCGAGGGTGTGGCTGGGCTTGGCAGTGTTGAGACACAGATGGGCACATCTTTTTTTTTCTTTTTCTTTTTTTGAGGGGTTTTTGCTCTAGGGCACATGTGCTTGCTGGAAAGACATAAAGTGAGAAGTCATCCCCCCAAGGGAAATGGCCACACTTGCTTTCCCTTGCCCTCCGTTCTCCTCTCGAGATTTTGTACATACACGCGCACACGCCTGGCATGAGTTTCAAGCCACCGAGTCCAGGACTTGAACCATGGTTGTCTATGTGGGAGTCTAGCCATGTTACCATTAGACCACCTGCTGATCCCTGGGCACATCGTTAGGCAAGTCCAGTCTCTTTGACAGACTTAAGTGCAGAAGGTGGCTCTGGAGGAAATTAGTGAATCCCCTTGAGGATTTTTGCCAACAAACTTATTATTTTGCTCACGGTGACAAGCGCGAAGTGAAAAATAATTGCCTCAGGAGACCTCCCTAAGCCTTCCACACTCTTCTGTCCAGCTGACGAACTCCGGTGTGGTGGGATGTTCTGGTCCACAGTGTCTCTCACTCAAACCTCTGGTCCGGATGTGTGCCAGTCTTTAGGATGGTATAAAAGTTACGGGGAGCCTCCACAGTTGGACACGAGGTTTCTGCAGTGACGTGGTTGTTCAGAGAATGTGGCTTCCTGAACTTGAGCACTGCTGGCTTGGCATCTGGTGCTCCTCTGTCCTTGTCCATTGCGGGCTGTGTCATGGCATCCCTGGCCTCCACCTGCTAGATGCCGGTGGCGTTCCCCGGCTGTGAGAACAGAATAACTCCAGGCATGGTCATGGTCGTGATGCAGCAGGGGCAGGCCGGATGGCTCCAGCGGGGTCATTCACCACTGAGATAATCGAGCAGCAGACAGCCACATGCCAGTTCAGGTCAAGGTTATTTTTCTTCCCTCCCAGATTTTCCTCACCCGCAGCACTACCCCGCCAGTGTCCTTTGGGTTTCAGAGGTGTTAGGCTTTGCCATTGCAGGTGAACGATGTTGGAGCCCACCTAATTGTTGTTCACCGAGGTAACATACACCCATCTCTAGTCGTTTCGGTTCCACTCTTTAAAGTCCAAAATTCTGATCAGTATTTTTTAAAAGAATTATTTTATTTAATTTTATTGATTCATTCATATATTTTTAATTTGACCAGAGAAAGACACAGAGAAAGAGAGAGTAGGGGAAAGTGAGAAAGCAAGCCACAAGGTCTGGGACTCGAACTGTGGTTGGCCACATGGGAGTGTCCAGTGCCCCAAGTGCTATGCCACCTGCTGGTTCCCCCTAATCAGTTTTCATGTAGTATTGACGCATAGCCAAGGCTTGGAGAGTGGGCCACTTACGGTTCTGTGTGGATTCTGCCGGGTAGGCCAGAGGCAGTCGGAGCACCAGGTGACAGGCCAAGTGGCAAGTGTGGGCCTTGTCAACTGGAGTTTCCTGGGCCCAGCTTTGATTCTTAAAAATAAAAAATCTTGCTTGCACGTGGTTTTTCAAGAGTTTGGTGCCCATATCCTTCGACCACAGCTGTGAAAAGCTCAGCTGAGAGCCAAGCAGTGTGCTCCTTCCTCAGTTCACATGAACCATCCAAAACCCGATCACAGCTTCAAGCCCTGCTGGTGAACGGTTCACAGGCCAGGCCGCCTTTGCCGACTCTTGCTCTTCCTCATTCCAGATTCGCAGGCTGAGGATCGAGATCGAGAAACTTCAGTGGCTGCACCAGCAGGAGCTGTCGGAAATGAAACACAATCTGGGTAAGGCGTGGGCACTCGGTCTGCATGAGGAAGGTTTTGTGTGTGACTTGATGTGTTTGCCCCTCCAGAGTCAGGCCCAGATGCCAAAGGAGTCAGGCTAGTGAGTGTATGTCTCATGGGGAGAACAGAGAATCCCAGGGATTCTAACCTGGTGTAAAGCAGCTGTTGGTGGGAGCCCATCTTGCCACGCTTCAAAGCCCAATGGCAACAATTAACTCGCAGTTACAGCAGCAGTGACCGCTCTTGGTATCCAGTCTGACTGTGTGCCAGGATCCTTTTTAAGTGCTCTTTCAGGAATTAATAATTGAGTGAAGTCTCTATGATACAGGATTCAGTTATAGCCCCAGAGTATGGAGGGGACAGGTAGAGAAACTGAGGCATGCTAAAGAACACACAGCAGGCTCGTGGTCTGGGCGCCCTAGTTCTGTACTCTCCCTGACAGTCATTGAATAGTGGGCATTTTATCTATCTATCTATCTAGGGGGAGATTTTTGTTACAGGGTTTGCAAGCTTGCCAGAGAGAGGGGAGAAATAGTCTCCCAGAGGGGATGGATATATCACAATCCCTTCTCCATTTAAGGATTTGGGGCATGTACGCACATGTATCTGTGAGTTTCAAGCTGCAAAGTCTGGGACTAGAACCACGGTCGACTACGTGGGAGTCTAGTGACATAACCATCATACCACCTGCTAGTCCCAAATATGGGTATTTGGGTATTTGAACAAACTGTTCTTGTGCATTGTACACAGCAGACAGATGTTTTGTTGGTCCCTGCATTAGACTGACCTATGTTTCGGCCTGCCATTCTGTATAGATGCTGTTAAAGGCTTCCCCTCCAAAGTAGAAACAGTTGTTGTGGACCTTTGACCTAGTATCAGCTGGGAACCCAGTGGAGCTTGGTCAGGGAGGCATGCCCAGCTGTACCCCTGCTCCCGTGCTCTGTGTTCCCATCATGCCTTGCCAACCAGAACCTTAAGGGGTGCCCTCATTCCATACCTTGCACAACGCTTATTTAGATGTTGGTTTTCGGTTTTTCTAATAAAGTCAGGAAATTTTCTTCCTTTTTTTGTCAGAGGGTATGTACACTCATAGGAGAGGAAGGAGGAGAAATAACAGCACCCCCACTCCCAGGGGAGTGTCATTATGCCACAATTATTTCTTTTTCTTTTCTTCTCTTGTTGGGATTTAGGGTACACACACACACATACACACACACACACACAGCCTTGTGTGTTTATCAAGCCATTAATTCCAGGATTTGACCTGCTTGGTTGGTTGTGTGGGATCTGGCTTCCTTAACCACTGGGCTACAGGGCCAGCCTTTGCATTAATGTAAAATAAAGATATTTTTACTTTAATGCAAAATATTCTCCACTCCCTCAACATTTTTTTTTTTATATCAGGACATAATTTATTCCATTTAGGACAAGGCATAGAATATTTTCCCTGTTTAATCGTTGATTGCACATTAAGTAAAATTACAGGTGGACTGGCCAGAGCTTGCCATTGTGGGCCGATTTCTGTTTAAAGGTAGCTGGATTGTATGGTTATTTTTTGGCCATACGTGTTTTACAAGGAGCTACTTTCTCCTATTGTTTTTTTTTTTTTTTTTTTAATTTAGTAAGTTTTTTTTAGGTTTTTGCTATTGGGGAGTGTGTGTGTGCTCACCAGAGAAAAACAGAGAGAGAGGGAAAGTGAAAAATCATCCCCCAGGGAAGATGGCTACACCTCAGTGCTTTCTCTTTCGTTCTTTTTTCCTCGTTTTGGGCATGCACACACTTCATGTGCTTTTTAAGCTACCAGGTCTGGGACTTGAGATGCAGTCAGCTATGTGGGGTCCAGCATCTTATCCACCATGCACCCTCTGGCCCTTCTTTAAGTTTTTAGTTTCATAGTCTTTGATGTATTTGAGGTTTTTTTATTTTTTTTTATTTTTTTCTTGTTTTGTTCATAGTCTTTGATGTATTTGAGGTTTTTTTTTTTTTATTTTTTTCTTGTTTTTGAGGTTTTTCCTATAGGGCGTGTGCGTTCTCCAAAAAGGCAGAGAGACAGAACGCGAGAGGTCACCCGCCAGGAGGGATGACCACACCGCAGTCCCTTCTCCTCCATTCTCCTCTCGGGATCTTGGGCACACATGCACACGTGCCCAGCATTGAGTTTAAGCTTCTGGGTCCAGGACTCTAACCGCGATCGACTACGTGGGAGCCCAGCAACACAGCCATTATGCGAACTGCTGGTCCCTTTGAGGGTTTATTTATTATTTTTAAAACATTTTCATATGTAAGGTACTTCTAGTGAATTATAAATGGACTTCCTGTCTGATATAAAATGAGAGAAATCCCCGTGTTCTGCGCATGATGATTGGCCATGTGCCTTTTCTGGTCAGTTTGACGCAGTGCCAGGAGATACATCTGTAAGAGAGCACCTCTGAGTTCTAGGCCCAGCTCTGCCCTACTCGCTGTGTGCCCAGTTTCTCCTGTGTGAGGGTTGGAGTAACAGTCTAACCCCGCAGGATTGCCGTGAGGAGCACAGGAGTCATGTTTATAAGGCGGGTAGAACAGCACCTGCCTCTGTTGGGTGCCTCACCAGGATTTGGTCAATGCGCAGTTGAAGTTGAAGGTGAGTTTTAGTGGCGGTTGTTTCAAGGATTTATTTGAGGAATTCCCACAATGTCGTTTTTGGTTACGAATCACGAAGTGCCTCTGGTCCTCTCCATACTGTGTGGCTCTCATAGATGTCCCAGGCAGCTTCGTCAGGCCATCCTGATGGATGCTCTGTTTATAGTCACGGACATAGGCTCAGAGAGGCTCCGTTACATGCCCAGAGTCACACAGCTGGGACCCCTCTGTGCCAGGATCACAGCCCGATTCTGGGAACTAGAAACGACCCTGCACCTGGACAGAGATCAGGTGCCAAAGCCAGTGTCCCCTTCTCCCAGAGCTGACCATGGCGGAGATGCGGCAGAGCCTGGAGCAGGAGCGGGACCGGCTCATCGCAGAGGTGAAGAAGCAGCTGGAGCTGGAGAAGCAGCAGGCGGTGGACGAGACCAAGAAGAAGCAGTGGTGCGCCAACTGCAAGAAGGAGGCCATCTTCTACTGCTGCTGGAACACCAGCTACTGCGACTACCCCTGCCAGCAGGCGCACTGGCCCGAGCACATGAAGTCCTGCACCCAGTCAGGTAACGCCCTCGCACCCCCGTGCCAAGATGCCGCAGTGGTGTGTCTTGCCTGGTCCCTGGTCACTGGCGCTTACCTACGAGGCAGTGGCGTCCAGACTCCTGGCTGAGGCTCCAGGTCCCCGTGTGGGGGAACCTCTGGTTTCCTTTCCAGAACCTTTGATCTCTTCATACGCAGGGATTAGGGCCCCCACAAATAGAGAGTATTCTGGACCAAAATGTCAGTAGTTCCGAAGTTGACAAACTGCTTTCTTGGCAATAATGAACTCACAACTTTTATGAATTTTTTTTTTCAGTTTTTGTTATAGGCAGTATGCACTTGCTAGAGAGAAATGAGGCAGGTTGAGGGCGAGTGACAAATCACCCCCAGGGGGATGGCCGTGCCCTAATCCCTTCCTCAGTCTCCGCTCAGGATTTAGGGCATGCATGTGTATGTGTCTGGTATGATTTTGAAGCTGCCAGGTCCAGGACTCCAGCCATGTGGGATCCAGCACCTTAACCTCTTCGGCCACCTGCTGGCCCCTGGCCTCATGGCTTTAAATAATAGGGATCCGCAATTTTTACATTAAGGAAAAAATGTTAGTTTGAACGTAAGGTATTGTAGACCACTGTAATGTTAGGAGCATTCAAAACGTTTTGGAAAACATGTGGTATTAAAAAAACTAGTGTGCCCGTTGGTGGCCTGGTGGTTGGCATGGCCAGCTCTCACATGTCCGACTGTGCGATTCAAGTCCTGGACTGAAGGCTTGAGAAACAAGCTGGGCACTTGTGCTTGCATGCCCAGAATCCTGAGAGGAGATTGTGGCGTGGCCATCCCCTCGGGGTGGCATGTGGGGGTGATTTCTCACTTTCCTTCTGTGTCTTTCTGGTCATTGCATGTGCCCTATAGCAAACCACTTAACCACACACGTGCACACACACACACACACACACACACACACTTTCATGTATTGCTTGGAATTCCAGCTTCTGGAACACTGGTGATTTGGCCACTTTAGGCTGGTTCTCGGGCTCCAGTGTGACTGTGCCGTGGTGCCTCCTTCTCGGCTCTCGTTTGGGTCAGAATTGGTGCTGAGCCATGGGGCTGTCAGTCACGGCGTGCAGCCCAGACTGTCACAGCAGCTCACACGTGGCTTCTCTGTCCTTCCTCACCCCAGCCACCGCCCCTGCAGGAAGCAGACACTGAGGTGAACACAGAAACACTGAACAAGGCGTCGCAGGGGAGCTCCTCCAGCACGCAGCCGGCCCCCTCGGAAACGGCCAGCGCCTCGAAGGAGAAGGAGACCTAAGGACAGTGGCTCGGTGAGCGCCCCCGGCTTCGGCCATGGCACCAGCCCTTGTGCTAAGTGGAGGCTCCGGAGTCTTCCCTGGGTGTGCCCCTCCCCCCCGAAGGTCCGATGTGTAGGGAGCCTCTGGGGCAGTAAGGCTATGGGGGTGATGACAGTCCTCTCCAGGCCCTTTCTCACCACGTGTCGGGATTGCAGTGGGGGTGCAGGTACGTGGGGTCTCAGGTGGCCTGTGCGGGCCTTGGCACTGTGCCCAGCACTCTCCGCAGGGCCCTCGTAGCATAGGACAGGCTTGTCAGTAGAACCTGGTATGCTGATGGAAATGGCGCAGTAGTTCTCGGGGCTGGTGTTTTCAATTCTGTTTTCTTGAGAGAGAGGAAGAAAGGGGCACCGCTACAGGGTCCTGACAGCGCAGTTCCCCTCCAGCTCAGCCAGCCCCAGATCACAGATGACGGTGAGCCCACTGTACTCAGGGAGGCCTCTGGACGCAGACACGACTCCCCTCTCCCCTGTGGGGGTTATCCTCGCAGCTCTTTACTGTCGTGCCACCCTCCGGCCTCTCATGTAGCTACTGGGCACCTGATGTGTGGCTAGAGTGACCCAAGACCGCTTTTAAAATGTTCCCTTATTTGAGTTGCCATAGATTGAGGCTCCCGTGGGCAGCTTCTGGCTGCCATGCTGTGGCGAAGGTCACACCTCCTCGGTTCCATGTAGGGCAATTTGACTGCTCATGCGAAAGGCTATTTTAGATGCACACTGATCATCTCTGACGTTTTCAGTCCTTGTGTGTTTATTTTGATTTGTATTAGGAGAACTATAAATCGTTAGACTACCAGTTAAAATGCTTCCACGTCCTGATGGTATTGCTCAGTAAGGCTAGCTTGGACTCAAAGGCAGATGGTCCAGTTTGGAAGTATGTACTTTGTTCTGTGAGTAGCACAAATCTGGAGGGTGGCTGGGGCAGTGAAGTTTTGCCAACCGAATGTTCTAGAAGCTGAGACTTAAGGGTTGCGTCAGGGACCAACACAGTGCTGGGTGTGGTCAGCCTGGGGGAGACAGCACAGTTTATGGCTACCCTGGGTGACCTAACCAGGCAAGGCAGAGGGCACCAAGATGTCTTGGGAGCGGTGACAAGCTCTCCCATGGGTTCCTGGGCTTCCCTGGGGAGCTACATTGGCCCCAATGCCCTGAATCCATGTTTTTCTTTTTGTATTTCTAGACCCTCGACCTTTCTGGCTCCAGAGAGACGCCCTCCTCCATTCTCTTAGGCTCCAACCAAGGCTCTGGTATGTCGCCCCCTGGTGGGTGAATGGTGTTTTCACCTTTCCCATGGGCAGATGGGGAGCCATTTTTTCAAGGAGATCTCTAAGGGTTTATGGCAGTGGTTTTCAAGTGATTGGGGGTGCCTCGGGTGGGTCACTGGGTGTGAGGGTGTACTTGGGCAAATCGACTCTCAGGTACCTCTCCAAACTGAGCAGGGTCTACCTGTGTTTGTGGGTGTGTTGGCGATCCACTTAGAAAGCCATTTGGACAGCGGGTTTGGTAGCTGACCTGAGTGGGGTAGGTTGGATCAGGCTGTTCTGCTGCCCTTGGGGAATGGCCTCTGTCAGTGAGTCTGTGGATTTCACCCCGAGCTCCTGTACCCGTGAGGGCATTTAAGTCTTTACAGAAATGAATACAGTGTTAGCGCTGACGATCTTGCTGTGAAAAAATCTTTCTTTGGGGAATAACTGGGTAGGCCGTTCGGAGTTTTCTTGAGACTTTGGGATTTCTCTTCCTTGGGGTTTGAGCAGACTGTCTTCCTAGCCCATGATGTCTTTCCCACACCCGCCTAGCTAGTTTCGGGTCATTCCAGGGAGGCTCAGAGCTGATGCCGTCCTTGGCGTGGACAGTTTTGCTAAAAACCAGCAGCGTCATTTCACTTCTGCAGGCTGAGTGCATAGAGGAAGAAGCGACACCTGGTGTTGGGGTCGCATGGCTTCCGGAAGGGGCCAGGCTGGGAGGGGTGGTTGGCATTTGGATAGGGGTGGGGAGCTGAGAGGCAGAGCCATGAGCTGACTGTGGGGAGAATTCGAACTTGGCATTAAATAAGATTGAACCGCTTCTGAAACGGAGCTCCTTTTCCGCTGCCTCTCCAGTCTGATGGAATCTTGAGAACAAGCTCAGCATCTGCTAAGATGTCTTTAGTTTCTGTGATATTTTCTTTCTTTTTCTTTTTAAGATTTTTGCCATGGGTGTGTGTGCTTGCTGGAGAGAGTGAGAGACAGAATTAAAGTGAGAAATCGTCCTCTCCCCGCTTCCCTGGAGGCATAGCCATGTGTCAGTCCCTTCTCCATTCTCCTGAGACTTTGGGCACGCATGCACTCACACCCAGCGGGATTTTCAAGCTGCCAGGCCTGAGACTTGAACTGTGTTCTGCCGTGTGGGAGTCCAGCACCTTTAACTACTGTATTACCTGCTGGCCCCAGTTTGTGTGATATTTCCTAATGCTTATTTTATCATGGAGCAGATTTTAGATTTCAGCAGCCCTGCCTCCCCATGAAAATACCCACTTGATTCTCTGTTGGGGTTATTGTTATGTTAATTTGTTGAGTTGCCTTCTATCTGTGGCACATTTCACTGATTTTTTTTTTTTTCTGCTTTTGGTGATTTCTTTGAGTTTTAAAAAAAAAGTTTAAAGTAAAAATATGAGCTAAGTGAGAGGTAGGAGGATCTTCAAGGTGTCAAAATTCAGAGGTGGTTTGAGAAGAAGCCAAGTTGGGGAAACACTATTTCTGAAGGGAGGGTGGGGGTACCGATGAGGTTTTGAAGCTGCCGAGCGGTTCTGTTGCCATGGCATTAAAGAAGATGCCACATACCATGTTATGTAGCATCTGTCACCATAGGATGCAGCGCTTCTGTTTCTGGGGGCATGGGGAGTTACGTGGAGCAGCGGTCAGCAAGCTTTTCGGTAAAGGCCGGAGAGTAAGTGTGTTCCGCCCTGCAGGCTGCCTGCCTGGTTGGTGTCGCCGTGATGCTGTGAGTGGGAGCAGAGGGCAACACGAGGGGGGTGCTCGGGGCCTGCTCTGAGTGGAGTTGTGGCCTTCTGTGTGTTTCTTGTTCTCAGAGCAGCGAATGATGGGACTCCTTGCCAGCGCCTTTCTGACTCCTCGCACGTCTGACCTGGAGGTTTCCGAGCTGTTTGTGCGGCTCGTACCAGCCTGGTCAGTTAGGGGTCTGGTTGGAAGGGAGAAGGCTTTGGGGTCACAGCTCCCTCAGCATCTGGGCACTGGCCTTTCCAGCTCGTCTTTTGTAGATTTTCGCCATAGAGGGTCATCCTAGCCCTCTACATGAGGGGTTCTAGATTCACATGAGCCCTCCCTCCGTAACGGGGTGGTCCCACCACTGCCTGGTGTCCTGTGCCTGTGGAGCGAAGTCCTGCGTACCCCACAGCTGCCAGTCTGGCTCTGGGCTAAGCGTGGCCCTGCTCTCTGCCTAGTGCCCACCGTGGGTCTCTGCTGGCAGGTGAGTGCAAGGCCCTGATGCGGTTGGACTGCATTGTTGTAGGGTTTTCTCAGGTGACAGGGTGACCATCATTCCCCAATGACCTTCAGAAGAACTAAATCTGTAGGCCTTGCGAATAGGACAGGATGCTTAAAAGGTGGATTCAGGATCAGCCGAGACTCGGCCCTTGTTCCTAGCTCTGTCTGCCTTCATACTGCCCCCTCTTGGTCACAGGGGTGAGTGACCAGGAGCGGTCTCTGTTGAGTGGATACTGGCTTTGGAGATGCTTATCATTCTCTTCTCTCTGCTGAGTCAGCAGGCCTGACTCAGCATGCCATGTCTTCTGCAGTGTTATTACCCCTCCCCGAGAAATGAAAACTAAGAAGTTCTTTCCTGTCTGTTTGCCCTTGGCAATGATCTCAGTGGCTGGTTGTCAGACCCTGCTAGTTGACTGTCCGCTGAGCCCGAAGGCTGCCCGGAAGGCGTGGCAGTCCACTCACCCGGCTCTTCACCTACACTTCTTACCCAGCTGTTCCTTTGCTCCTTGTGCTTGGGTCCTTGAAGCCATGCTGTGTCCTATTCTGGTCCTCTTTCTGTGACCTTTACTCTGTCCTTACTGGCAGCCAGCGGCTCAGTGTCCCCAGCAGACTGACCCGTTCCAATCCACGTTCCCTCTCACCTGACCCTGTCCGTTGGGTGGCAGCAAGCGTGGTTGGTTGTAAGTGAGCTTTCCAGGCTGCCCGTAGATTGGGAAAAGAAACTGCATGGAGAGTGTAGACGGCGTGTGTTTGCTGCCTTTCTCCCGGGACAGAGGTTGGATGCCAAAGTCCATGGGTTGTGCTGGCATGAACGAGGGTGCAGTGTTCAGGTCCCCGCGTGAATGCCTTCCCTGGCAAGGGGGTCCCTCTCACTCACCTCCCTCTCTGTGGGCACAGTTCCAACCAGTCTGCCCAGCTGTCGTTCAGTCCTGGGAAAGGAGTAGGTCTGCCTTTGTACTCGGCAGACCCAGTTAGGGAGGGCGCTGGCTGGGCAGGTGGTTCCTGGGTGGCTGTGCTGCCGTGGGCGGGCACGTGCTGACCGGCTTGGTTTTCTCCCCAGACCATTCCCGGAGTAGTAAGTCCAGCTGCTGGAGCAGCGGCGATGAGAAGCGAGGATCTGCCCGCTCCGAGCACAACGCCAGCTCCGGCACGAAGAGCCTCATCCCGAAAGAGTCTCGGCTGGACACCTTCTGGGACTAGAGGCAGATTGGGACACAAGCCACCCACTGCCTGGGGTAGAAAGCCCCAGACACTAGGGAAGTAGGAAACAGCAAAGAGCAGAGGAAGCACCTCCTTTCGCCTGGAGAATCCTGACCTCCCGGATGTGGCCCGACCCGGGCCGGAGTCGCGGCTGTCTACACTACACGGCGCCCAGCATTAGCTTTACCGAGCCCCCTCCCGTGCTTTAGGTGTAAATGATGTACATTGTGGATGTCCCCGAGCCTAGAGTCCCCTCCCCTTTTTATATTTGTATTGACTTTAACTTATAAAAAAAACGAGAAGAAAAACAATGAAAAAAACCAACAACAAAAGAATGTCTGATGCTGGAGAAGGGGTCGTCAGCTGCCTGCCTGTCACTCCATGCTGTGGAGGCGGGGCCTGGGTATTGCTGTCACGGGCAGGCCTTGTCCCTGGACACAGGGACAGCGAGCCTGCTGCTGCTCGGTCTGTCAGTGGCAGGTGGGCATCGGGAGTCTGGCATGGACACTGTCAAGGGTACATCCCATCATGCCATCGGCCCCATCATGCCATCGGCCCCATCATGCCATCGGCCCCTTGCGGATACGACATTATTATGTTACAAAACATGACAGAGGACCTCCCCGGACCAGAGGACACATGGAGAAGCTGGTTTATTTTGTGTGATCGAAATGACAACTCTACTCCTCAAAGGGAAAAACAACGTCCGTGTTTACAGAAGATGAACAGGATCGAGCCCCGCTCGGCTCAGCGGCAGAAGAGAACACAGAAAGTGGTAGAGCCAGAAACTCCAAAACAGAGAAGTCTTTTCTTCGCTTTGTGATTCCTTTAAACACACTCTCTCTCTTCACACACACACACACACACACACACACACACACACACTCACACAACTGAGAGATGCTGGGCTTCTCAGAAGCGAGAACTCAAAGGCAAGACACACACACAGGACCCTCGAGTCTGGGATGAAGCATGTATGTATTTATATGATGGAATTTTGCGTTTCTATGTAAGCATGAAACAAAGGCAGTGTTGACGACCGCAAGACCCCGCCATGCTGTCCGCGACACTACGTATGCTGTAGTCCCATTTTGTATGTTGTGTAAAACAAAACGCATCGATCCACGCAACAGGCGATGTATGTATATGAGAAAATTAACTGTACGATAGCATTCCAGTACGCTCTGTTGTACATTTTCGTCTCGTTTCCTTTCTCTTCATTGTTGATACGAGGACGCGCACTGTACAGTTTCCAGCTAGTAACCCGTATTAGAGAAGAAATGAGAGAGTATTAGAAGAAAACAGGAGAGAAAGAGCATTTGTGAATTGCAGTTGTCGAAAAAAAAAAAATAGCCTAGCTGGCCTTATTTGTGAAGCATAATTGCTTTTAGCATATGGAAGTATTTTTTCACATTTTCTTTGTATAAAATTTGTATTAAACTTAAATATCTTTTTGACGATGGTGTTTCTTTGTGGCCGAGCCAGTGGACTCACACGGTATGCTCTTGGGTTCTCTCTCCCCTCCCTTCCAAATTTTTCAGACTCTTCACCTTTTTTTAATTAAACCGTTTTGGAAAAATGTCTTGGTCGTCGTGGAATTCGCAGTTTGCTGTTGGGTCAGAATGGCTCTGCACGACCGCGCACAGGAGGAGGGGCCGTGAGTGCCCGGGCCACCCCACGCTCACGTGGTCACAGCTTTGTGTACTGGCCCCAGCAAGTGCTTTCCGGGTCAGTCGTCGGAAGGCGGTCCTCTGTGGCTGACAGGGCACTGGTGTGGGCAGCAGAGATCCGCAGGCCCGGTGCCCCGGCCTGGGGCACGTAGGGCGTGAGGAGGGGCCAAGTGTTCTTGGAATCTGCAGGCTTTGTTTGGTGTCCTGGGCAGCATCGTCCCTGTCTGGACTCCCCTGGTTTCCCTGAGAAGGAGCCACCCCCCTACACTTCCTGTCAAGGACCAAGCCCCCAAGATGTGACCTGCATGGGAGCCTGGGAGCTTTGGCCCCCCAGGTGTTAATTCATTCGTATGCTCAGCAAATTTGCGTCGTGTCCAGCACCGCCCGGGCACTGAGGACGCCTCGTAATGTGGTATCTGTTCCCTTTCCTTGTTGAGCTTGCTTTCCACTGGGGGTGACCATCATTCAGTCATTCACCAAGGTGTATCGGGGACCTGTAGGTTTATTGGGGACCTGCAGTGCTAAGCACAAGTTGAGCTGTGGATGGGCAGGTGGGCAAGGGGCCTGTGCATCCTGCCATTGTGGGCGTAAGGTTCTGAAGCACAAGAAGATAGTCTGCCTACACCTGTTTACAAAGTAAAAACCCACCAAGGTCACGCAGTGGAGTGTGCGCCGTGCCGGCAGGGGCCTGTGGACTCCTCTAAGGGCTAGAGGGTGTATCGGAGGCTTTGTGGGCCGTCCCGTCTCAGTTTCGCTGTAGGGTGGGCTCATGGAAAAGAGACGGTGAGAGAGAAAGTGAGGAAGCCCTGCCCAAGGGCGGTGGCTGTACCGCATCGCTGTTCTCTGGGGGTTTGGGGCGTGCACCCAGCGTATTTCTCAAGCTGCCAGGTCTGGGACTTGAGCCATGCAGTTGGCCATGTGGCATCCAGTCACCTTCGCCACTCTACCACCAGCTGGCCAGACCCTTTATTATTATTTTTTTGAGGATATTAATTTTATTTATTATTATTATTTTAATTTCCTATAGGACATGTATGCTCACCGGAGAGGGAAAAAGAGAAAGCTAGCCACCAGATTTGGGACTCGAGCTGCGGTAGGTAGGTCCTGTGGGAACCCAGCACCTTAACCACCAGGCCACCTGCTGGCCCTGGCCCTTTATTAAGTGAAAAAAACGCTAAGCTTCCCGGGGCCAGCAGTTGCGATTGGATCCCACATAGCTGACTGTCCAGGTTCAAGGCCTGGACGCAGTAGAAAATTACGTGTGTGCATGCGTGTGCCCAAGAGCTCAGGAGAAGAGTGGAGGAGGAGGGACTGCTGGTGAGGCCAGCCCTCCTGGGAGGTGATTTCTCACTTTCCATCTGTCTCTGACCCTCTCCGGTGTAAGCATGTGCCTTATGGCAAAAAAAAAAAAAAAAAAAAAAGTTAGCTTTTTGGTGTTGGTGTGCATGTACACCTTCTCTTTACCTCCGCTGTCCTGAAGACCACAGAGTGCGGTGGAGGTGGACGTAGTCCCATTGGAAATATTTTTTTCTTCATAATGGAATGTGTGCTGACAGGTGGGAAGGAGAGAGACAGTCCCTGGCCAGGCGTGCCACTGTCCCCTCCCTCCAGCCCTCCAGCCCAGTGGCTCTGGGCACTCAGACGTGCCTGGCATGCTTCAGTCTGATCTGGCCGGGGAATCTTGTCACGGCCACGCTATGTGGGATCCAGCCTCTCTCGGGCAGCGCTTTGTCACCGAGCCGGCCCACACTCCATCTTACGAGAGACCAAAGCTTCAGGACGTGTGGCACGGTCACCCACCACCTGCAGTCAGCTCTGGCCACCAAGCCCTTGTCCTGTCCCTAGCTGACACACCCTCTGGGGGCATCTTATTTCGGATGCCCCTTCGAAGTAGCCACAGGCTCGCCTCACAGCTTCGTTTTAGCCCCGTACCCGCTCATCTCCGAGTGTCGTTTACGGACATCGGTGACTTCACCTGTGTGCGTGTGGCACGTGTGTGCGTGTCTTACTCGGATGGAACTGTGAGTGGAGGGGCTGTGTTCCCTGCTGTGCCCCTGGGACTTGAAATGCCGGTGACATTGCGTGGCTTCTCTGTGGTGTGCCAAGTTCAAATGCAAGGTTGACCTCTGAGTCTCTCTCCCCTGAGGACCCCCACAACTCCCAGGATGGAGCGGCTTGCTCAGTTGGTGGTAGATTAGTAGTTAACTTTTTTTTTTTTTTTAAAAAAAAAAAAATTTTTTTTTTTTTAAAAAAAAAAAAATTTTTTTTTTTTTAAAGAAAAGGGAAATTATTTATTTTAAATTTACCCAGAGAGGGACAGAATGAGAGAGACACACACACACAGAAAGTGAGAAGGCAAGCCTCCAGGTCCTGGACTCAAACCGTGGTTGGCCATGTTGGAGTCCGGCATCCTTAAACACCACGCCACCTGCCAGCCCCGATTAAGTTACTTTTAAAAATAAAGGTTGAATATGGGGCTAGCAGGTGGTGTGGTGGTTGGGATACTAGACTCCCACATGGCCAACCGTGGCTTGAGTCCCGAACCTGGCGGCTAGCTTTCTCACTTTCTCTCTGTCTCTTTCTGGTCAAATTAAAATAATAATAAGTGGAATGAAATAATTATTTTAAAAATTAGTTGATTTCTAGTTTCACTATTAGGCAGTACAGCCACATGATGTCATTGAAACATTTGTGACAGTGCGGGCATGGAGGAGAGAGAAGCCCCTCCTTGGGATTTGGTCCCCCGACGGTCCCTTCTGTCCCAGCCTGCCAGCTCCCTGGGCTTGCCCACACTTGCCTCGTGTCTTCAGGCCGACCAGGCCTGTGCCCGGCCACTCCCGGTGTTGCTTCCCTCTCTTCAGTCCTGCGCGGTCTTCCCCGTGCCACAGAGGCTGGGCCCCGTGGCTCAGATCTGAAGATGCAGAGCGCCGAGAGCATGCAGGCTTTCCCTCAAGTCACCTCGGTCTCTAAGCCCCACTGCCATGCCCCTCAGAGAGTCTCTGCATGTACAAACAAGCAGAGATGTTTTGCTCTCCCTTTTCTTTTTGTGCTCTAGGGCGTGTGCATTTGCTGGGAAAGAAAGGAAATGGGAAAGCATCCCCCACCCCCGAGGGATGGCCATGCCACAGTCCCTTCTCCACTCTTCTCTCTGGTTTTTGAGCATGCTCGGGCACACGTCAGGTGTGTTTTCACTGGGTCCAGGACTCAAATTGTGCTGTTGGCATGTGAGATCCAACCTCCTTAACCTCCATGCCACTGGCTGGTCCTCTGTTCTTTCTATACACAAATAGTAGAATTTGATACATTCTTTAGTCCTATCCCCCTTTTTACTGTTCTAAAAAATTGCCAGAGAGAACATACGCTCTCTAGAGAGACTGAGAAATGGGGCGAGAGGGAGAAAGCACCCTCCAGTGGGGCGAGGCCATGCCACAATCCCTTCTCTTCGATTTCTCCATCCTGTCAGGACTCGGGTTATGCAAGCACGCGTACCCGGCATGTTTTTCAGGCTGCTGGGCTGGAGTTTGAACGGCAGCTGACCATGTGGGCTCTGTCTCCCTTAACCACTAGGCTCCCTCTCCTGCAGCCCCCACCTTTCACTTGAGCCTCCAGTATTGGACCACGTTGCTGCCGTTCAAAAGCGTCTTCCTCTCAGGCATGTGACATCTGGTAGGTATGTCCCACGGTGAGGCATGAAACCCGCCACCTGTTCAAGGAGGTTCAGGTCCTCTCCCTGCACTGGCCATGGCGCACAGCCCTGCTGCAGAGGGCGCCCATCGGGCCTTTCCCCCAACAGTTACGGAGGGGTCAACCTGCCCCAGGTTGGAGCAGGACTTTGAGAGTCCAGGCAGGCTCTTCCTGACTTCGGTCTGAATTGAGTGTTTACAGACGCCCCGTAACTCTCCATCTGTGCATGTGGAGAAGCACAAGGACACAGTGGAGTCTGGTGACCCTGGCAGAAGGTGACACAGTCCTGGCGCCTTCCTCTTAGCGATGGCCCCCTGGGTGGAGGGCAGGAATGGGCTGGGACCACTCTTGCCACCTGGTGGCCACAGGCAGAACTGCAGCCGCAAGCCCGCTGGCCCCAGGGGCAGACGGAAGACCCGAGGGTTTGTCCCAGCGTCACCGTTCACTGAGCCCTGGGTCTGAGCCACAGCTGGGGACATCCTCATCGATCTGCCATTCTCACTGGGAAGTAATCAAATATGCATAACACATAATCCCGGGGGTGGGGGCAGATGCGCTGAAGGAAAAAGCCGGGTGGGGAGTAGGGAGATGGTGTGATGGGGCTTCTGAGGCGGACCTTTGAGTAGAAGCCTCGAGGAGGTGGGGACTGAACTGGGGTGTCTCCGAAACCTTTCCTTACTTTTATTTTATGTTTTTGCTATAGGGCCCATGTGCTCACTGGGGGAAGAGAGAGAAGAAAGAGAAACACCGCCGGCAGGGATGGCCACGCTGCAGTCCCATCCCGTCCATTCTCTTCTTGGGATTTTGGGCACACGCACACACATGTGCCTGGTGTGGTGCTTTTTTTTTTTTTTGAGAGATTTTCACTATAGGGCGCATGCACTCGCCAGACAGACAGAGAGACATAGAGACAGAAAGCGAGAAATCACCCCCCAGGGGGGATGGTCACGCCGCAATCCCTTCTCCTCCAGTCTCCTCTCGGGATCTTGGGCACGCACGCACACCCGCCCGGCGTGAGTTTTAAGCCACCCGGTCCGGGACGCGAACCGCGGTCGACTACGTGGGAGTCCAGTGACATAGCCATTACGCTAACTGCTGGTTCC